TGTGTCAACCTGGGAACCCAGATGGGACACGAGACAGGTCACTTCGCATGCTTTTTTGCTCCAAGGACACAGCACTGGGTTGCAGACTGGAGCAAATGCTGACACAGATTTGTATTTTCCAGGAATTTTTTGTGGCCTCCCATGGAGTGACCAAAATAGACATCCTGTGTGGATCCGCTGGGAAATTGGCATCTGTGAGTTGTGGAAGCTCCTCTGTTACATAAGAGAACATTCCGTTCTTAGTTTTCCAGGGATCTTCAGTGGCATTCATGTAAAACCCAGCCCCAGTGCCAAAGTCCCAGCTGTCATCTTCCCCTTTAGCGCTGCAGCCACGGGGGCTGGTATCTGGAGCAGAGACGACTAGGCGGGGTTCTGAGGCAGCTTGCGGATAGCCAGACTTAGACAGGAAATTTTGTTCTGTGCAAGCTCAGCCAGACAGCCCGTAGAGTGCAGGACACTTCCCACTCTCTGCCTGTGGTGGTAGACAGCAAATCTCACTTTACATGTCAGCTCAACACTGCCATGTTTGAAAACTTTCTGGAGCCTTCCAAAGCACCTGTTGCTGGAAATCTGTTTCAATGCCCTTCCTCTCCTGGCCAATGGCTACTTGTTTTTTGTTGTTGTTGTTGTTTTGGCTTGGTTTTTCCTTCCTTCCTTCCTTTCTTCCTTCCTTCTTTCCTTTCTTTCTTTAAGACAGAGTTTCACTATGTAGCCCTGGGTGGTCTGAAACTGGCTGTGCAAATGAGGCTGGCCTTGAACCCACAGAGATCCACCTGCTTCTGCCTCCTGAGTGCTGGGATTAAAGGCATGAGCCACTATGCCTGCACACATTTCTTTTTAAAAATATTTTTGATAATACATACATATAAATACATCTTTATTACAGCCATTCCAACTCCATTTCCTTTGGACACCCCCAACACCTGCTCCTACAATCTTCGGTCTCCTCCTCCTCGTCTTCTCCTCCTCCCTTCCTTCCACTAATTTCATTAGTACTGCCTGCACACTCATGGGAAACTTACCAGGGACCACATCTCTAAAGGAAATAACTCCCTCTCCCCAGCAGCCATCAAATGCAGATACCTCTCCAGCTAGGTGGGGCCTTGGGGGCCTCTCCGGCATCCTTGCTGGAATTAGTGACTGGTTTGGTCTTGTGCAGCTTGTGCTGCTTGTGAGGGCCAGCTCATGAGTGCAGTAACCACATCATGTCCGGAAGGCAACTCTCTCTAGTGCTCCTCCCATCCTCTGGCTCTTACATGCTATCTGCCCCCGACTCCTTTATATTGCCTGGGCCTTGTGAGGATGGAGATAGACGTCCCGTACTCAACATTCGCTTATTCTCAGCATTTTGACCAATTAAGAGTCTCTGCATTGACTGGTCCCCGCTGGAAAAAGAAGCTTCTCACACCAAGATTGGGAGTAGCACTAATCTAAAGGTATAAACAAAGATTTAGAAGGCAGTTTGACAGCACATTCATTTAGTAAAACAACATTAGTAGGTTCCCCCAGTGACCTATGACCTTCCTGACTATGGGCTTTTGGCCAGGCTCACAGAACTAGGCATGAGTTCGGCCTGTGGAACAGTCCTGGAATCTAATCAGAAGTCCGTTGTCTAGCCCCATAACAGTCATGACACTGTTCTCCAGTCGACACGTCTTACCTGGCGGGTTAGCACTGTAGCATGCAGGGTCTACTGCTGGGTAAACCATTGATGATATTTCTCTTCCAGCAGCCTGCAGAGTACTTTTTGGCATTATGAAAGCTAACCAGTAGGGAGGAAATTTCAGATCCAGCTCAATTTCTTTATGTCCTGCAACCAAAGTGTGTTGTGTTTGGCAATGGGGTCTTCCCATCTGGCGGTTGTGGTGGGGGCAGCACTTGGGAATTTCTTGCGTAAGAAGTCCAGGCACAACCAAACACCACTCCTGGTGCCTTCAGAAACAATCTGCCTGGGCTGGGGATGTAGCTCAACTGGCAGAGTGCTTGTTTAACATGCGTGAAGTCCTGGGTTTGATCCCAAGCACTGGAAAAATAGGGAATGGTGGCACACGCTTGTAATCCTAGCACCTGAGAGGGGAAGGCAAGGTGGTGGAGAAATTCAAAATCCTTCTAAATTCAAATACATTCCCGGATACACAGTGAGTTCAAGGCCAGCATGAGCTCTCTCTGTGTGTGTGTGTGTGTGTGTGTGTGTGTGTGTGTGTGTGTGTGAGAGAGAGAGAGAGAGAGAGAGAGAGAGAGAGAAAGAGACAGAGAGAGAGAGAGACAGAGACAGAGAGACAGAGAGAGAGAGACAGAGAGAGAGAGAGAGAGACAGATGAGACAGAGATATAGAGATTTTCTTTCCCTTCGTGAGGTAGCTAATGAGGGCCTTGGCATCATCCAGATACACACCCCACATACAGTCCAAACTAGGAAACGGGTTTGTCCCCCCCTTTTTAAGCCAGCGTTTCTCCACCTTTGTTAAGGAATTCAAAGGACTTGCTGTGGTTAGACAGATCTGCCATCCTAATAACCCACTGCATGCATGAGGAAATCCTCTATCTGATTTTCAGGACACTCATAGACTGATGAGATAGATGTCTGCTCTAACCCAGTTACAGCCTGGCAAGGCTCATTGTTGTGCCTGATAGGGGACCCTGCTGATCATATCAGGACACTAGCCTAGGAAATAATAGAGGAGGACCTGCTGAACCCGATGATTTACTATCTAATTAGAGGGACCAAAAAAGGCTGTTCTCAAACTATTAACTATAACAAATTGTGTGGGAGGCGACACCCGGTGCTTCAGTTAATCCTGTTCTAATGTGATTAAATCTCTAACAACCCACAGAATCAGCTTAATGATCAAAGGAATTTATTTGAGGGTTAACTCACAACCACAGGAGATTTATTGTAAGGTCCTGGAAAGCTGAGCTATGTCCCACACTGAACGGCTTGGTCCAAGATCTCAGCATCCAAACCACAAAGTAACCAAAAGAGAGATGCATACGTGCATCCCAGGTCTTAAGGGTCTTCCAGTGGCCATACCTCAGGGGTAAGTACCTCAAGGTCATAGGCAGGTGTAACAGCTACAGCTGCCTCACTAGGGGTGATGCTTCAGGGTATGGCTCAAACAGCTACCCACTACATCTCCCCACTTTGTCTAAATAAGAAAATTCTAACCTAACACAAAACTATATACAATAGGAACGATTATCAAGGAGAAGTAAAGGGTAATAACACAAACAAATGCAACTACAACCAACAAGAGCAACATCAAACAAGAGACACATACTAACATCCAGAGAAGTCTGGAGCATAGGTAAATGGCATGTTACTGAGATCATTCCAAAAGGTGTTCTATCCTGAAGAACCTGAATCTAGAACTTAGTATGTTCTAGCTAAGCTACAAGAAGATTGTAACTAACTGTAACTGTTAGTCTTCAACCCCATCAAAGACTTGAGAAGGAATATAATAATACCTGAGAAAACAGGAGATGCACGCAAGCAACTTTTGGAAAAATTTCAAGAATAGACAGAGACAGCTGGCAGCCTGGACAGTCACCTAAAGTTTTTCAGCACTGTTGGGACATCCAGTTTGGCTACAGGTCTAGAATATCTGACAGACCATTTTCAGAAGAAGGAATTTTGAAAGACCATCTTACCCTGTCTTGGCAAGGTTCAGTAGTCACTTTTCCTTGTGTCCTGCTTGTCCAGAAAGGACAGCGTTCATACTGTCAGCAGTTGAGGCAAGGGCAGTTCTTTGCCCAACAGGCCATTTTGTGCCAGGAAGAAGACAAACTTCCACACTGAGTGTCTTAAAAGCCCAACATTATCTCGGGATCAGATTGGTACTGCCAGGAGCAATCGTGTCTCATGTCAACAGAATTCTAAGTTATTTAAATGCCATACTCTCTAGGTCTGTGAAGTGTTTGAAGATTATCTGTCCATCTGACATATGTACCTGTAAACATGGACAACCTAACTAACATAACTATAGAAATGACAAGCATGGGTGACTATACATCTGTAAGTCTTCTCTACCTAAATAACCTAAGGACTAAGGCTTCATATAAACAAGGTAAACAGTCTATAAGCAAATGTACAATAAAAGGACAATGACCTCAAAATTGTGGCAATACACAAAATACCTTAAACAGAGGTAGAAATGTATAGTGCAGTATGCAATATGACAACAATATGTATCAATATACAAAATATCCTAAACAGAGGCAAAATATACATACAGTATGACAAATACAATTTTACATTTGTATCAATATACAAAGTATTTCAAATAGGAGTAGAAATATATGTACATTATAATAAGTAGTTCTGTATTTGTATCAATATACAAAATATTTCAAACAGGAGTAGAAATATGTGTACATTGCAACACTGTTCTCTTTCAGTGCAGCCAGCTGAAGCCATGCACAAGTACCACATCTGGACCCTGAGTCAGGGAGGCCGTGACGTCTTGACTGCACACGTATGAGCCACGCCTCTTCTGCTATTAGACAATAAGCACAGTCTCTTTTCATGCAAACTCCAAAAACTTACTGGTCACCCTTGCCAAACTCTCAATTGTGCCATCTATTGCCACACTCCACCCACGGCCTCTTGACTTCTGTGCAGAAACAACTGACCTCACCTGCAGGCCTAGGCTAGCTCTGTAAGGTCCCGACTTGCCCTGCCTGAGGTCACTTGGTTCACACATGGCCACAGTTTTATGGTGGCAGGCCACAGGCTGCTTTTGGTGTATGCAGGAGTTTCAGCGAGGCCGTAGAATCCGGCCCCCGTTTTCACATTGAAACATGGTGTTTGAATATCCTGAATCTGTGTTCCTAGCCGTGGCCATTCCTGTTCGCCTCTACCATAAACTGTCTTTGTTCCTTGGTTTGCATTGGTGTTAGCCAGCTCCGGTTTAGCCCCATTTCCAGCAAATGTGTGGATTAGTTCAAACTCAGAAACCGTGAGGTAAAGGATTTTGTTTGGGGGCTTTAGAAAATGTATTTCGAGTGCTTGCTTTGGCATCACACATACTGAAATTGGAATGATACAGAGATTAGCATGGCCTCCGTGCAAGAATGACACACAGATGCACAGTGTTCCATATTTTAAAAAACACATGTTTTGAGAGCCAGGCATGAAGGCCTAGCCTACAATTCAAGCATTTAGGAGGTGGAGGCAGGAGGATCAAGAGTTCAAGGTCGGGCGGTGGTGGCGCACACCTTTAATCCCAGCACTCGGGAGGCAGAGGCAGGCAGATCTCTGTGAGTTCAAGGCCAGCCTAGTCTCCAAAGTGAGTTCCAGGAAAGGCGCAAAGCTACACAGAGAAACCCTGTCTCGAAAAACCAAGAAAAAAAAAAAGAGTTCTTGGTCGTCCTTGGCTACAGCTGTGAGTTTCAGGCCAGCAAGGGCTACATAGTGGAGGTGCTGTCTAAAAAGTTAAACAAACAAACCAGCAAACAAACCCATTTTCAGTACCCTCCCTGTTCAGGGAGAACCTTGTTTGCATGATCTTAGAAAATAACACACATGCACAAACACACATACACATAAATGCACACACAGGTGCTCACATGTGCATACAGACATGCACACATAGGCTGCAAATAAAGTTCCGTAGGTGGAGTGTTTGCCTCGTATTCTTGAAGCTGTGGGTTGGATCACCAGCACAAAGCAAATCACAAAAACCAGAAACTGTATTTCGGAGAACATGGATATTGATAGTTAAAAGTCAGTGTCCTGAGGAAGGAAGAGAAGGTGGAGGTTACACTGAGCAAGCAGTGCTGAGTTTTTACAAGGGAGTAAGAATTCTTGGGGCTGGAGAGCCAGCTGAGGGATGAAGAGTACTTGCTGCTCTTGCAGAGGACCTTGTTTTGGCTCTTAGTATCCACATCTGGGTGGCTCACAGTTATCTATGACTCTTGTTCCAGGGCATCTGACATCCTCTTCTGACTCCTTGGGCACTCCCATGCATACACATAAATAAAAATTAATTCTTATGTGGGGAAACTTCTGCTGGAGTTGAGAACAGGTGTAGGTGTAAATGATAGAAGAAAAAGAAAATTATACATATATATATATTTATATATTTGCAAAATGTCCATAAAACAAGTTTATGGCCCCAAGATCCATTTATCTACCTACCTATGTGTTTGTATGGGTATGAGTAAGTTTTGTGTGTGTATATGTATATGTATGTATATATGTATGTATTTACCTATTTATCTATCAGTTATCTATCTATATTCTATCTAAGGTCTCTGAGAACATGTAGTCATTCTAGGTTATTCTAGATGCTCACGTAGGGTGACTAAGGTTCATATTCTCCGGCAGCAGATACATGGTGAGGGAGACTCCCCATGCAGCCTCCAAAGGCTATTCTGGAAAATTCTTCCAATGGTGGTTTTACCCTAATTTTCCTTTTGTCTTCACATATTCCTGGGTCTCTTCCCAGACATCCTTCACCACCATTTCTACTGTGCTTGAGAGCACCTGCAAGCTTGGACCTTTCTACAAACAGCTGCAAATGGAGTCGGTTTATTCGGTAAACATCAGGAATTTGTGTATTGTATTCTCCCGCTCCCTCAAGCTTCCCATAACCTGGGGCAAGGGGCATCGTTAGGTGAGTGGGACAGAAAGATGGGAAACGGGGTGGAGAGTGGGTAAAGATGCCTACTGCCAAGCCGGGGACCCTAGAGCTGTCCTCTGCCCTCCATAAAATAAGTAAATTAAAATGCAGTAAAACATTTTTTTTTTGTTTTTGTTTTTTGTTTTTCGAGACAGGGTTTCTCTGTGTAGCTTTGCGCCTCTCCTGAAACTCACTTGGTAGCCCAGGCTGGCCTCGAACTCACAGAGATCCGCCTGCCTCTGCCTCCCAAGTGCTGGGATTAAAGGCGTGCGCCACCACCGCCCGGCGCAGTAAAACATTTTTTTTTTTTTTTTTTTTTTTGGTTTTTCGAGACAGGGTTTCTCTGTGTAGCTTTGCGCCTTTCCTGGGACTCACTTGGTAGCCCAGGCTGGCCTCGAACTCACAGAGATCCGCCTGGCTCTGCCTCCCGAGTGCTGGGATTAAAGGCGTGCGCCACCACCGCCCGGCCAGCAGTAAAACATTTTTAAGACAAGAAAAATTATGGGGACACGGGAAGAGAAAGAAGCCCCTTACTCTGGAATCCGGGGTTCAGAGGCCTGAAGACAATAAAGTCACGATTTCTTATAGGGGCAGTGCTTCCAAACAGGATCGGGGCTGACTTGAGGCGCGGTGCTGTGGTCTTGAGTCTAACTGTATGAGAGCTTTCCTCTCATCCCTAAACTGAACATAGCATCGCCTCACAATTCCGTTTACAGAAGGGAGTCCTTTAAGATGAGAGAGAGCTGGCCATGGCGGTGTGCATGCATCTTCAGTATAGGCAGAGGCAGAGGCAAGCAGACCTCTGTGAGTCTCCACATTGAGTTCCAGGTCAATCTGTGCTGCACAGTGAGAACATGCAACCCCACCCCCACCCCCTAACCAACTAAAACCTCAAAATGAGGCCTCGAGGCATGGTTCAGTGGTTAAGAATGAGTAGTGGCCGGGCGGTGGTGGCGCACGCCTTTAATCCCAGCACTTGGGAGGCAGAGGCAGGCGGATCTTTGTGAGTTCGAGGCCAGCCTGGTCTACAGAGCGAGATCCGGGAAAGGCACAAAGCTGCACAGAGAAACCCTGTCTCGAAAAACCTAAAAAACAAACAAACAAACAAACAAACAAAAACCAAAAGAATGAGTACTGGTCTTTCAGGAGATCAGAGTTCAATTCCAAGCACTCACATCAGACTGAAACTCTAGCTCCAGGGAGTTGCCTCTCCTCTGGCCTTTACAGATACTTGTGTGTTGTGTTGTGTGGTGTGTGTGTGTGTGTGTGTGTGTGTGTGTGTGTGTGTGTGTATGTGTGTGTGTGTGTAAGCTAGTTCCTATTAAAAACATACATATATATATTCTTTTCATTTATTCTTTGTGTCTTACACATCATGCATCTCGATCCCATTCATTTCCCGTCTCTGCGAAGCTGCCTTCTGCCCTTGCAGCACCCCCTCCCCCCAAATATTTTTTTTGTTTTTTTTTAAATACAGGGTCTCACCGCATCTCTCACCGTATGTTCTGGATCACCTAGAACTTGCTGTATCGACCAGGCTGGCTTCCACCTCACAGAGATCCACCTGCCTCTGTTTCCTGAGTGCTGGCTTAAAGGTGTGGGTCACCAGACCTGGCCAGTTTCTGTATTTTTACTGAAATTTTAAAATTTGCTTAAAACTTAAGCTTCACTTAATCATTAAACCCTGTTGTGAAATTAGATCCTTTGAAAAACAGAACTCAGCGGCAGAATCCTATACATAGCCCTTCTGAAGACATCTAATTGCAGCTCTCTCCGCTGAAAAGCCCTCTTATCTTAGGTGTGTGCTGTTCTTTTGCGGTGAGTCACTCTCTCTCAACATCCTGCTTCAGTGTGAACCGTGCACTCTCCTTATCTCTGCTTAATAAACTCGGTTCACTTTGCTTCACTCTTACCTGTTTTGAAATTCTTTTCTGCAGCGTAGGCAGGGATCTGCCTTGACTTTAGTAGAGCTCCCTAGGCAGAACACCCCTCGGGCTTCCGCAGCAATGCTGGCCTGGGCCTCCCGGCTTCTGCTGACAGTGCCGCACCATGAAGAGCCTCAGCCTTTCTGTTCCTGGGGTCCCAACAAGCTAGAGGTGGCCAGCCCCCCCCCCCCCCCCCCAGATCAAATGAAAAAGGTAGTGTTGAAGTGTAGGCAAGGGGATCAGCTGAGCCACACCAGGAAGACAAGAGGGATTGAGTGCTCCAGCCCTGTCTTCGAGGTAGTTCAGGGATGGGGACAAGAAGAGTCTGTGGCCAAGCCGCCACACTCAGGCTGAGGTTTGGCTGATCACTGTGTCAGCTCTGTGTATGCTGACGTTGAGGGGACAGTGACAGCGAGGCAGGGGAGCTCTGGGTTGGGTGCCGAGGAAATGCTGCTAGCAGAAGGATGTCTGCAGAGTCTCTTCGCTTTGCATGAGTTTCTCTATGAGTCCTGTGATCCTGGCAGTTCGGGTCCTGAGAGCCCAGGTGCTGCAGAGATGGCACCCTCAGAAGCCACATTCCCTAAGACTCCTCATTTGTGTCCACAAGGCAACCAAAGGCAATATGGAAGCCTGGCATCTCTGCCCTTATCTGTTACTTTTTTCCCTTGGGCCACCAGCTTGCCTCTGCAGGTCCACGTGTTCATCACATGGAGAGCCTATCTAATGTAACTCAGTCCCCTTCAGCGCTGAAGATGCAGAGAAGTCACTGACCTAAACTTGCAGCTACTGTAGATTCCAGAGAGAACGTAACCTTGCAGGTTGGACCACTCCCCTCCCCTCCCCACCTCCCATAGAAGGGCTGTCACCCATGATGGTAGGCTAGGAGCACTCTAGAGCAGGAGGAACATCTTGTAGAAACCAGACTGGCCCCCTCAAGGGACAACAATGCTTAGGAAGTCTTTGGACTGCCTTGCAGAACCAGAGTGGAGACCATCAACAGACTACACCTTGAGTTCTTGCTCTCTGCCCCAATGCTTCCTCCATAAAAGCTAACACCAGTACCCCAAAGACAGACTTGAGGGCCACTGGGACCCTTTGCTTGTTCCTCTTCACCACACGACCATATTGAATCAATCCCCTCTCTTTGCTTTCTACCATTCCTTATCTACTTACTTGGTGTCCTGAAGACAGGTTGCCATGACTAGTTAGCAGGGGCTTCTAGAACCCAGAGTCATATAAGAGCTCTGCTTACACTGCGTATGGGGTGTCCTTGCTTAATTTTCTTCTTGCCGCAACAAACTGCCTGACGAAAGCAGCTTAAAGACGGAGGCGCTTTCTCTGGCTCCCAGTTTAAGGTACAGTCCATCGTGGGGGGAAGTATTGGCACTAGGAGGCGAGGTGGCTGGTCACGTTGCCTCTGCGGTCAGCAGGTAGGAAATGAGTGCCGGTGCCTGGCTCTCTCCCCACCCTGTCCTCCTCCTCCTTTTTCTTTTTGAGACAGGATCTCACCATGTATCCCTGGATGGCCTTGAACTCACTCTGTAGATCAGGCTGACCC